CGCATGACATTATTCATCAAACTACTTGCCCTAACACACCCCAACAAAATGGTGTTGCTGAGCGCAAAAATCGGCATTTATTGGAGGTTGTTCGTGCTTCCTTAATAGAAGCTCATATGCCATTGTCTTTTTGGGGAGAAGCACTCACTTCTGTTGCCTACATAATCAATCGAATACCTTCAAGCTCAATTGAGTTCCAAACTTCGTTTCAAGCTCTTGGTAAAATAGTGAATGCTCCAACGGTTGCAAACTTACCACCTCATGTTTTTGGTTGTGTTGCTTTCGTACACCTCCACAAACATCAACGCAACAAGTTGTCTCCTCGAGCATTGAAATGTGTTTTCGTTGGGTATGGTGTTCATCAAAAGGGTTATCGTTGTTACCATCCTCTAACTCAACAACTATTTGTAACCATGGATGTTGTGTTTCATGAAGAGTTGATGTATTTTTCTTTTGAGTCTGAACTTTAGGGGGAGTATTGTTCTGAAGAAATTCAGACTCTTGACTATGCTGTTCAAGATGTGGGAGACTATGAGTCAGAAACTAGACCTGTTGATCAATAAGAAGATGAAGTGGATGAAAATGTTGAGGTGGTATCTCTATCCAAAAAAACTTCATCTCAGTCTGAATCTCTCATTCCTGGTATATCACAACCATCATTCACTACAAATGTTCTTGATTTAGAGTTTGAACCAATAGAACCTAAACCAATTAGGAAACAGTTACCACCAAGTAGTACTAGAGGGATTCCTAAACCAACATATGAACTTGAGCCATCTAGTAAGGTCAAATATCCCATGAGTCATTATGTGTCTAACCATCGTCTGTCAGAATCAAATTTGTCATTTGTGAATCAATTATCTACTGTATCTATTCCTAACAATGTGCAGGAAGCCTTATCTGATCCAAAATGGAAAGCTGCTATGAATGAAAAGATGAAATCACTACAGAAGAATGAGACTTGGGAACTTGTTGATCGTCCACCAGAAAAGAAGACTATTGGATGTCGATGGGTTTACACTGTGAAGTATAAAGCTGACGGTATAATTGAACGATTTAAAGTAAGACTAGTAGCAAAAGGGTACACTCAAACTCATGGGATAGATTATACAGAGACATTTGCACCCGTGGCCAAAATCAACACATTACGTGTCTTTTTATCTTTAGCAGCAAACCTGGATTGGCCATTACAGCAGTTCGATGTGAAGAATGCTTTTCTACATGGAGAATTGTTTGAAGAAATCTATATGGATCCTCCACCAGGGTGTATTTTATCAGGGAAACATAGTCAAAAGGTATGTAAGTTAAAGAAGTCACTGCATGGGTTAAAACAATCTCCGAGGGTATGGTTTGGGAGGTTTACCAAAGCTATAAAGTTTTTTTGCTACCATCAGAGCAATTCAGATCACACACTATTCCTTAAAAAACAGCAAGGAAAGATTACTGCACTTATTGTATATGTGGATGATATGGTGGTTACAGGAAATGACCCAGAAGAAAAAAAGGCTCTGTAAAAGTACTTATCAGAAGATTTCGAGATGAAGTACCTAGGTTCTTTGAAATATTTTCTTGGAATTGAAGTGTCTCGATCTAACAGAGGTATATTTCTATCACTAAGAAAGTATGCCTTGGATGTTCTTCAGGAAACTGGTATGTCAGCATGTCAACCAGCTGATAAACCAATCAAAGAAGGCTTGAAATTAGGAGTCGAGACTGATCAAGTACTAGTTGACAAAGGGAGATACCAAAGACTTGTGGGAAGATTGATGTATTTGTCTCACGCCAGGCCAAATCTTGCTTATGCATTGAGTATAGTCAGTCAGTTTATGCATAATCCTGGAGAGCAGCATATGAACGCAGTTATGCGTATCATGAGATATTTAAAACATGCTCCTGGAAAAGGAATCTTATTTTCTAAAAATAAGGACTACCAAAATGTGCATGCATATACTGATGCTGATTGGGCTGGAGCAATGGATGACATACGATCTACTTCTGGTTATTTCACTTTTGTAAGAGGTAATCTAGTCACGTGGAGAAGCAAGAAACAGAATGTTGTGGCACGCTCGAGCACTGAAGCAGAATTTAGGGGAATGACACTTGGGATTTGTGAAGCTTTGTGGCTAAGATTTCTACTACAAAATTTGGGTTATCAACCTAATCAACCAATCAAGTTATATTGTGACAATAAAACAGCATGTGACATTGCTCACAATCCAGTTCAACATGATCGTACGAAGCACATTGAAGTAGATAGATTTTTTATCAAAGAAAAACTGGATGAAAAGATTATTAAACTGCCCAAGATTCGATCAGAGGATCAATTGGCCGATATTCTTACCAAGGCTTTCTCCAAGCGTATTTTCTCACAAGTGTTAGACAAGTTGGGTATGTGTGATATCTATGCACCAACTTGAGGGGAGTGTTAAGATTTTCATAATATTGTGTGAATCTTTTGTAATCAGTTAAATATTATGTAATCTTTTAGTTATGTCAGGTATACGATCTCAGAATATTCTAGAGATTATGTTATCTCCTAATTATGTCAGATAGAATATTGTGTAATCCGTAATTGACATAATTAGGAGATTTAGGAGATTGGATACTCCCTTTATAAAGTCTGTAACTCTCAATGTAAAATCAATGAATTGAAAACCCAATTCTTCAAACAAACAAATTCTGCATGATAAATGTTTCATTTTGTGTCAACATCATTTAGATTTTGGATAATTCATAATTCTTACAGCTAGAGGAATCACAGTGCTGGACCAAAACTGCTTGAATTTTGTCACTGAATTGAAGTCAAACCAATCTATATATAAACAAAAAGATGACACATGCTGTGCAATTACAAGATAACATTTTACAGTATCTTCTAGAATTAGCTACATCTATTAAAAAACTACATTCTTAGGCAACCTAGATAATAAACTTTAATCTAAATTTAGATGAGCAAAATTAATTGATAGTACCAATTTTATCTTACCAATATTCAAACATCTGAAAAAGTAAGTAAAATCATCAAAGTAAATAAGACGTTACAAACCCACAGCATGATGAAAACAAAACACGAAAATAAACCCAAAACAAAAAAAAAAAAACGTGTGAAATTTTCTAGTACTGGAGAAATCAGCAAGTATGATGTAGATCTCTGCAGTACATCAAAGAAAATCAAGTTCAATGACAATAACATATGCTCAAACTGTTAATAGATATAAGAGAAATTCAATACTCCATAATAAACGAAACAAAATGTAAAGCTGAAATCAACCAAAGTATTAAACAAAAGAAAAAAAAAAATTTTAAGAGATAGGGTTGGCATTTACATGCACAAAAAGGTAGTGACGCCAAAACACCGTTTGATCTTAACGTCTTGCACGAACCATTCCAGAATTGCAGGGTACATATTCATGGCTGCATTAAATACACCGGCCAACAAGATGTTTGCCACTAGAATGCCATACACCTTTCTTATAAAGTTCCGTTTCTCTAGCTTTTTATTCTCGTCTTCCTCGTCTATCACTACCACTTTCCTGAAGCTGGCTTCTTCAGTAGATGCAGCTGCCGGAGAGTTTTGGTGGTTTTTTTCTTCCCAGATTTGTGGAGGTGATTTTGATAGAAAATTTTTTACTGGGATCGTGATGGTGGAGGAGAGAGAGTGCATGAAAGGCGTGGGGTCTTGCAGTGAAAGCAATCTGCCCGGAGACCACGACCGGGCTTGAGACAGTGCAATGGAGTCGGGTCACAGAGGGAGTTGGTGATGGTGGTGACCAGATTATAAGTGGGTTAAAGAGCATGATTGGTTCTGCAGCACAAACACAAACGTAGAGTTGAGGGCTCAAGGGGAAGGAGAGAGCAAGAGTTCTGCAATTTAGCGTTACAACTTTTTACAATAAAGACGATGTTTGGTGGGCTGCAAGTAACAAAATAAATTAAAAATATCGATAAAGTTTAAAATAAGAGTTGTGTTCTTTTTCTTATTCTTATTGTACATATGTTGAGAAAGCCAAAAATAGAGTTTATTTAATCTGATAAATAAAATCACAACAATCTTGAGCCTTTGGTTTATGATTTAAAAATATTTTTTAAAAATTAAAATGAGGTTCAAATATTTGAGTTGTATCTTAATATTTTTAATATTTGAAAATATGTTTGATATAATATTTAAAAACTGTTTTCAGATTAAAAGTTATAAAAAATTGTTACAACGATTTTTAATTGTATTAAAAAATTGTTTCTGAAAATAATTGCAAACAATTCGACTCGTTTCTATAAAATACATTTTTATAAGCTTTTTTGTATCACTTGTTTTCAAAACAAAAATATGTATTTAAATTATATATCAAACTGTATTTTCTTTCTACCTTTCATTTATGTACTATTTATTTATTTTTTCCATTTACATTATGTAGTACGTGAAAATGCAATATTCCACGAGAACTTTCTTGTCTTGTATTGGCTTTTGTGATTTTTTTGTCTCTAAAGAAAGTGAGACCATTCTTCTTGTATTTGAAGAAACCCTTGGAAGATAATCCTTTTGGTTTCTTCTCCTTTCGTCCTTCATCACTCTCCAAAATAGCCTGGCTAGCTTCTTTACATTGGCTATCCTCACTATTAATAAAGTTTCTACTGATTTTGATTCTACTTCTGAATGACCCCATGATTTCCTTCATTATTTCCACCTTCTTCCAAGCTATCATTCTTTGTTAAATTTAATAAATAAAAACTATAATATTATTTCAGTGAAGGATAGGGGTTTTAATACTTATTAATTAGGAATATAATGAATATGACGGCATTCAAATGATACAAACGAAGACTAATGTTGGGTGCAACGTTATCAGTTTTACTTTTCCAAATCAAGGTGGAAAATAGTACATTTAAAAAGGCCGAGTGAGAAAATGTTATTCAGCCTTCATTAATTTATTTATCATTTTACATGCTTTTCCTTATTTGAATTTCTAGCGCCGAGAACGAAGGAAATGAGAAAGAATTTGAAGTTAAAAATTTTCTTTATGGAAGTCAAATTTGGTGTTGGTGGTCGTCTTGTGAGAGAAATCAAAGGCTAGCTGGCGAAGCTCTTGTACCGGTGCTGGTCTCCCGCAATAAAACACCCCTGTATATATAAAATGCAAAAAATAAGAAATAAATTCTCATTCTCACATTCAAGTATAATAATATTATTATGCAATATAAAGTGATGTAGCATGACTCATTAATCGACGTACTATTCATTCTTAATCAATGAATAAATTTTTTGTTTTATTCACCGGTTCATTCTGTGTCATTCTACTTTGTATACCAACTTTCTGTATGTAATATTACTATAAAAATAATGAAAAATAAATTATATAAATATGCATATAAGTACTATCGTCAAAATAAATTAAAGAATACAATTAGCACTTTAAGGATGCGGTAAAAAAATATCTTGTAAGGACTAAAGGAAGTGCAAGGAAAATACAAAGAAAACTAAGGGGTGTGCTTTTCGTGAATTTATTTTGTGTTTTTTTGAAAACATTAAAAATGATTGATTTAAATGATGGGTAATCAGAAATTTTTACATTTAAGAGAGAAATTTAAATGAGTAAATCACATTTGAGAGAAATTTAAGAGCAAATAAAGTTAAAGCAGTGAATTTACCAACTCTGGAACCAGGGTGATTAGAAGCAATGCGTTCGTAGACATTGTGCCATTTAGGTTTTGCAAAATGGGACTTAACCTTTGTACCAGAGACGATGTCAACACCATTTTTAGCATGATTGAGGGATTGAAGCATGGCGATGAGAGCAGAGCGAAAGTCACCTTCTTCGTAAACACTAGTACAATGGTTATGAAGTTCAATAACATTAGTATGGTCCAATTGAGCCACTTCATTCATCACTTCTTTGAACCAATCAAAGGATCCTTGCTCTCTTGTCACCCAATAAAAGTATGCTCTTCTTGTCTTCAACTTTTCTTTTCTTCTTTGTTGTAGAGGAAGAGGACTAGATCTAGTAGGAGTTTTCATATTTCCATTTTCTAAAGAACTAATCTCTTCCTCTTCCATGGCACTAATGTTATCTAATATGTCCTTCACAATACTTATCATTGGAGTTGCTCCAATTCCCAAACCCACTAGTAAAACCACCTCATATTTCTTGTAGTCTTGTGCTGGTGCTCCATAGGGACCGTCGATCAGAACTCTTGGAAAACTGTTCATCATTTACAAAACTATATCATATACGTTTAAAGAAAGGGTAAATATCTAAACCGCGGAGGTGTACCCTAATCCAGATAAACCCCTTTTGTTCAGGAGATAATTCTCGACCTTCTTTCGTTAGATGATTGTTAGCTTTTTTTGGTTAGTTTTAACAATGCAAATAAGTAAATGAGTATTATTAAAAATATAAAAATAATAATAATAAAAGACCAACATCTGTCATATGACCAATATTGTTAATTTTAATAAAATATTCCTTATTCCCTTGAAGTGGAGGAATGTCCATTCCTCCCAAATTTATTGGCAGAAATGATCCACTTTGCCCTTGTTTCAAAATCCTTTTTTCCCATTCTACTTTTAAAGTAATTTATTTAAATTAAAATATAAGTTATTAAAATATTCTTTAAAAAATGATTAGGGTGCGTTTGTTTTATTATTTTGAGTAATATTTTCGAAATATTACTGTTAAGTAGAGTTGGGTTATTATTACGAGATAAGATTTGAAAATTAACAGAAAAAACCCCTAAGTTTGTTAATTTAGCTAAACACCAAAATAATAAAAAGTTTATAAATTAACAAAAACATCCCCATCCACCCACAGTTGCTAGATTTTGGTCACCACTGTCAGAATCTAGCCGAAATCTTGTTTCATTGTGCACTACCGACCAGATCTAGCTGGTCATATACTGCTATGACCTTTTCCAGCAAGATCCACCACGGATCTAGTTGGAAAATGCTAGATCTACAACTGGATTTGGCCGTTGACAACCAGATGTGGCCAAAGATCTAATTGTCAACGGTCAGATCTTTGGCTATGGATCTGGCCTTTTCCCGTGGATCTGGCCAAAAAAGGCCAGATCGGCACGCTGCTAGCCATATTCATTTGATAGTGTGCCATTACACCATATTCCGACCACCTTTCGGCGATGGTTGCTGGAATCTGACAAATGTGGGTAAGGGGTGTTTTTATCAATTTATAAAACTTTTTTGTTTGGGGTGTTTAGTTAAATTAACAAATCTATGGAGGTTTAAGATAGTTGAATATTATAGGATATGATTTTGAGAATAGGGAAACAAACATGTATTCTTTTAAGGATAGGAATAGAGTATTTTGAAAAAAGACGAAACAAACGCAGCCGAAGTAATTTACACAAATATAATGTCAAACTTTTAGTCTCATCACTTCGGACATGAAATCTTTTGTTACATTAAAAATTAAGTTGAGGATGTTTTATTTTTGGGTAAACCTGATATTATCTCTTTTGTGACTAAAAAACAAGATCTTTCGGGTATAATTAATCCAAGTGGTTAAAGGATTTGTCATCCGACCACTGGAGAAGAGGTTTCCTAATCCAAATGTTGATAAATATTACTAAAAAGTATGTAAACAAAAAATGACTAAAAGTATTTGTAAATGACTTACGTGGGATTGTTACTTCCACTAGAAGGTGAACTGGAGGACGCCTATAAAATAAAATTCAACAACTAATTAATTAATTACTCATATATGTATATTTAAACAAAGTTTATTTATTTATTTTACGTATCCTGGAAGTAGAAGACTATAAAAGTAAAAGGCTCTCTGATTTTGATTAATTATACGCTAATTAAGAAATTACCTCAGAAAATAATTTTCTAATTTCTTTTGTCCAATCCCCGCCAGCATTAATGTGAATACTCAAGTAGTCATCTCTAGGGGCTGAAGTTATGGAGAATGGGTGCCTGCTTGACATGTAAAATTTACTAATAGATTTCAATAAAGCAAGCATTAATTAACAGTAACAGAATTAAAATTTCAAGTTTTGTTACCATTCAAATGGCGACACAGCAGCACAATTCACAAAAATGTATTGCCCACTCTTGTATTTGAATCCATGAGGCTTTGACATATAAAGTGCCAGCACATGTTCAGGATAATTGACCTGCATTTAATAAAAAGAATATATCACCTTTAATTGATATATATGAAAATTCTTTGACGTGAATATCATAAAATTTTTAATGTGCGGATCAGGTGTCTAAATGCTCACTTTTGATTGTTAGGTTTGTGAAATTAATAAGCGTTTGGATACTCACATTTGGTTTACATATTAATAATTCCAGAACGTTCGCGTTGAAAAAACAACTATATATATATAAGTTTAGTTCATGTATATTAATTTTTTACCTTTTCAATAGTAACGGGCATTATTAATCTGGATCGTACTGTCCTGATTAATCTCTCACAGGCATAAATGGTGATCGGAATTGCCAAGTACATCCAGGTCTGTATATAATATCATAGAAAAGATTATTATATCCTCCAAAAAACCAATTAATTAGCAGCAAAGTAACGACGGTGAAAAATTAAGGTGAGAAGGAAATTAACTAACCGTTTTCTTGTACCATTTTTGAGTTAAATACAGATAATATCCATGAACAATGAGCAAAGTGTAGACGACGACAAACAAGTGATGGGAATACCAAAAGGCATTGTAGCCTGTAAACCTCTTGAGGGGTTCGAGCAGCTTGAGCTTGTTGGGCAGCTTAAGATCATTGCGCCTGAACCATGAGGCAGCAAGAGTAAAGGCTATTGCCATCAACACCACCATCAATATCCCAGTTGTTCCTTCCACTGACTTCACAAAATACCAGTAGCTTCTAGGCCGATCCCCAAAATATTGCTCCATTAGCTCATACTTCTCTCCACTTGCATGAAGCAGACGAGGGAAATCACATGTTAAATGATAAATTACATGAATACAAACTCCGAAAGGGATCCCCACTGCTATCACCTGAAAAGAAATACCATTTTACTTTGATTCAGCTTCTGAATATTTTAATGGCTTTGAATAAATCTGCTATCTGACTGCGTGGAAAACGATATTTGACATTGATTAATTACCTTGTGGAAATTGAGGTTGTCATCAAATGGAACAACAACTCCTAATTTGGTCTTGGACCTCAGCCATGTGATGGTGTTTCGGCAAACAGGTAGCAAAATTAGAGCCATGTTTAACTTTAGAGTTTCGGCTGCCCCCTTGGCCATACATACACAGTGTCCCATTACTTCATATACATCGACTCTATTCCGATATTCAGCATATTTGTATGCAAATAGTCCTGCCATGACTCCAATCCACAGCGCCAATACCCAAATTCTTTGCCAATTAACGAGCAAGAAGTATTTGGTGTTTTGCCACCATCTACTTATTACTGGGTTGTCAGATTGTCTATACTTTAGCTTCTTGCTCAACCCTTGGCCCAGTTGTTGACTCTTTCCTCCAGCTTCAACAGTCTGATTCAGTCCTTCCAACAGAAGGGATTCAAGAGTATCGATCTGAAAAATTAGGTGGTGTTCAATTACGTTTTTGATATCTTTGTTTTCAAAAATAAAATCAATATTGAAAATAACAAGATTGATTTTGTATTTTCAAATTTTAAAAATGCATTTTTTTTTTTTTTTAAAAGTAGTATTTGAAACATTGTGATATAATTGGGAATGAAAATATAGAAAACATGAAAAATCGAAAATCTAAATAGAGAATGAAAATAAAAACAAAAACGAACAGACCTTAATTTCCAACCATGTAAGAGTCGAAAAATCAAAATTTTTAACCTTTTATATATATATATTCTTTGAGATTACTATTATGAGTTTTTTTTTTCTATTACCGGGATGTATCCTAGATTGTCAGGATCTAATTCTTCCATGATCAAAGCTGCAAAATCCTCTGCTTGCTTTTTGATATTCGAGAGTTTATTTGCAGAAGCACTGAGGGTGATAATCTGCAGATGTTGTTGCCAATTTATTAGATTGAAACTTCTAATTAATAAAGTCAACCTCTGCTTTAATGCATCTATGGAGTATTTTAGCAGTCACGTTCATTGGTATCGATGCCATACCTCTCTGACTTCGTCTTCTTTGATTACTCCGTTAGCATCTTTATCAACCCTGCATTCAATAGTAGTCAACCTCTCTCAATTTGAATCTATTTAAATAGTAGTATGAATTTTTTTTTAAATAAATGATAATTTTATGATTGCACGTTTATTAATTTGAGAGTACTTTTATAGTAATTAAAGAGAGCTTTTCGGGATTAAAAAAAAAAAAAAAGGCTTGAAAACAATTTTGATAATATATGTCACATATACAAATTTGATATTTCTTTAGAGTATTAGACAAGACTCTAATTATTATTTTGAATTCTAAATATATTCAAACACATATAATAAATACAAAATTAGTTTATATGTAAAGATTTGTTAATGTATTAAGAAATAGATTTTTATTATATTTCATGAATAATTTTTTTTTTTTTTTTTGGTTTTAAATTACCCCCACTAAAAACAAAATCTTACTTGTATAGAGAGAGAGAGAGAGAGAGAGAGAGAGAGAGAGAGAGAGAGAGAGAGAGAGAAAGTGTAAAACTATTAATCCCAAATGATGTCTCTTAGCATTGAAATATGATTCAATGCATTATCATTATATTTACATGTCAATACCACATATAATGACACATCATTTTGGATATGAAATTTTGGATAAATTTTAGGAAGAATGATATTATTAAATAAATAAATAAATATTTACAAGTCAAAGAAAGTTTTAAGCCTGGAGTCGAAACTCTGGTCATAGATCTCCTCCCAAAACTCTCTCAGCTGGCCCTTGGTGATCGAATCGCCTGTAACATTGTATCTTCGAGCAAGTAAATCATATAACCTCCCTGCAAAGTCATTTGAGTCGTCCATTCCTGCCATGAATGCTATAACATTAATTTTAACATCAACATCAACCCACCGTTATTACTATAAGAAACTTTTATAAAAAATAAAAAAAACTACTGTGTTTTAACTGTTTTAAATGTTTAGAATAATATATTATATATACTAACTCACATATACTAACTGATATGTTTGAATGTGATTGAATGATTTTAAATTAAAAATTAATTTAAACAAATTAACTAGAATGGATGATATAGAAAATATGCAAGGTATTATGTCAACTTATAAGAAATAATTTGTATAATTAACTTATATATACCAATGCATTCTCCAAAGCGTGGACGAGGCAGAAACCCGTTAGTCGAATCAGTAATCTCTTTAAATCGATTCTCAACATCATCCCAATCAGCTCCACGTCCATCACTCTTACTTATAAAATTAAGTCCTTTCAGAGCATGAGCTGCCGCAGACTTAGCCGCCGTATCAAAGCGAGGAGGAGGCTTCTTTGAAAAAGCAGTCAAACGCTTAAGGTGATCAAGAGGCATCTGTCTAATTCTTGCAGAAGCATTTCTCACCATTGAAGAACCAAAAAAAGACGAGCTTATATCCAAAACTCTTCCACGTAACGTTAGCTCAGCCTTAGGGTCTTCATTCTCAGCACTGTTAGCAGCTTTAACACTCTCAACGCCCACAGCATCATCACGTACATCGTCAGTGGGCTTTCTTGTGGGCCTTCTGTTTAGAGGTCCGCTGTAAGGCATCGTTTCATTAATGCCCACAATTTCACGATCAGAAAGGTGCTGGTGTTGATGAGGAAACGCTACTTTTGGATCATCTGTTCCCATATTCATATTCATCTTCTGCATCTGAGTGGTGTTTATTTCTCTGTTTTCGCTTCTTGTTGTTGGTGCATGGTTTGTTTATATGAGATTTATAAAAACTGGAAATTCTGACACATAGATACGTCATATTCATGTACATATTCATATTCATGTCTATGCACGTTCATGTAATATTGCAATAAATAAATATATATAGAAAATATCATAAGATCTTTTGGAATTAATCAAATAAGACGATTTCCCCTCGTGCAGATTAATTTCGATCTTCTTTTTATTTAATTTGGTAATTTCAACTCTTACGATTGCTATATTAATATGATCAAGTACTTAACTTTAAATTATTATATGACATGTTTGCACACAAAAATAAATCAATGACCCATTAGGGTTTATATATTATTTACTTATTGACTTAATCTTTGAGAAGAAAATTATAAAATGACTTAAATCATTAGTTTCATTAAGTTATCCCGATCCTTAATTTGCTCCGTCTTTGTAGTTTCCACGGTTGACTTTGAACTCAATAATGAACTAGGAAGGAAGATTATATGAATTGATAAAATGGGAAACCGACAAGCTGAATATTACAAAGAATTTGTACTAGGATACGATTCCTCTCCTGGTTTAATAAGATAATAACACATGGTAATAACGTAAATAAGAGGCCACATTTATTCTCTTCCCACAAATTTCCTCATCAAAATTTTCTTCTGTTTTCGACTTTGTCTTTCTCATTGATCTAGCCATTTTCAATCTCTCAAAGGTCACCAGAATTCTTGAAGGAAACCTTGGGAATACTCCATGAGAGCTCTCTTGTCTTCTAATCACAATTGAATTTAGGCCAATATCAAACCCGTTTGCACATTTTTATTAACTCTACTAATTGAATTGACTTCTGTGATTTTTTTGCTTGCAGAGAAAGTGAGACCATTCTTCTTCTTGTTGAAGAAACTCTTGGAAGATAATTGTTTTGGTTTCTTCTGCTTTCGTCCTTCATCACTCTCCAAAGTAATTACCTCTCTAGCATCTTTACATTGGCTATCCTCATTGTTCATAAAGTTACTACTGATTTTGATTCTACTTCTCAATGACCCAATGATTTCCTTCATTATTTCCACCTCTTTTAATTAGATCATTTACTTTAATTCATTTATCTTTTATAACTTGACTTTGCACTTGTGTTTTTGAAAATCAACTTCTACATAAAGCAAGCTAATATAATGAAGCGTGCTCTAGAAATATGGGCTACAATGTTTAATTACTCAAAACATATACATGTCTTGGTCTCAAAGAAAAGAAAATTATACTCTAATTTTTCATTTAATTATTGATTAGCTAGTATGCAAGGTCATTGTGCTCCTCTATTAATTTGCAAAACCCACAAGACTTTATTGTCATGTCCCACTAAAATTCATTTATTTACAATACAAATATCACTGTATAACAACAAAGTATACATCCATATTAACAAAAAAACAAATTAAACAAAATATATGGTTCATGAACATATCATCTAGAAGAGAATGAATATATATATTTATGTATGTATATGTATATAGTCCAAGAACTTAGAATTTTATATATGAAGTTCGAAAGTAGATAGCTAACAACACAACAACCTTTTTTTTTTTTTTATCTTTCTCTTCAGTACCCAACACCAGGGCTTGGAACATCACCTTGTCTTCTGCATGTAGTAATCATAATCATTCTGGGCTGGAGTTTCATCTCCTGAATTGTAATCACATTCCCTGTCTAGAAGCTTTCGTGTTCCGGCGGTTATGTACCTAATTAATTATATCGATATCATAAATTTATGTCTCTAATTTATGAATGTATATGGAAAATTAATGTATTAATTTTTTTCTACTTTTCAAAATAATCTGGATTTCAAAATTAATCTCTAACGATTTTAGTTTCATCAGCCAAATTAAATGCATTTTTATTCTTTCTACAACTCTTTTTACACCATTTTGAAAGAACCAAAGATAAATAATTACCAACAACTCAGAGAAAATACCCACCAGTCATGCAATTTAGCCGATATTCGATTCTTCGATTTTAGTTGGTTTGGCTAGTTGGTGACAGGAATTTCTCTTCTGACTTAATTATTAGTTAATTAAACACTAAAACATTTTAGGTGAGTTGACCTTGAAACTTTAAACTGCCATTACGCTATTTCAGATTTAGTAGAACTTGAGATTGGCAATAATGTCTAATAAGAAGAAATCACAGAAGACGCAAAGCTACTGTTGACAATGACATGGTCTTCATCGTCAGAATAAGCCTGCGAGGTTTGGTCTCAACTTGTCTTCTTCTTACATCATTTCATTTCGAACTTGTTTTATTATGCATGTAAGTATGTTAATATATTTATAAGATTAATCTCCTTCTATACCGGCAATTGTGGTTGCTCTATCACACCGTTGCTTCCTTTGAACCTAATCAAAATGCCCCAGTTCATCTTCAAGTGAAGCCAATTTTATGAATTCTTCACAAAAGTAGAGATTTTGATCTTCTGAAGAAGCAGATTATAAGCATTCTTAATTGAGGTGGCATGTTGTTAGGCAAGAATAACAGGCACAAAAGCCCATAGAACAAAAGTGATATCTCCAAGCAAGATAGAGACTACTGAGGCTGAAGAAAGAGATCCTGAGATGACGGCAACAGGACTGAAGAACTGTGAATAATTTGTTTGATGATGCTGGTATTTCAAGTCAGCTGCCACCGCGAAGCAGTAAAACAATGTGTTTACCAGAAAAATCCATATATTTCTGCCTTGAGCGTACACTCCTAAAATCCCTATAAGCAATGGAATGAGAAACGCAAAGGCTGTATGATATGGCATCGAGGAAAAGAAATTCTGCGCACTGCACAACTATCAAAATAAGTTACAATATTTTCATTTACAAATTTTGTCATTAACATATATAATAGATAAATAATTCGTCTCTCAGATGGAATCCCAACTCAACACTTTTTAAAATTCGAATCCAACTAAATAAAAAAAAATTCCTATAGGTGCACATGAAAATTCTTGTAGAGATAAAAATCATATATTTAATCTATAGTTTATAAACGGGTCTATTGACGGTTACAATTTATCTATATTGTTTATGACATAGCAGGATATGGTAGTGTTTGTTATATTTAAAAGGGTTTAGTCCATACACCCTTTGAAGGATTGTTTAACGTGACACATACCCATACTTTTTGAAAACTATTTAAAAAAAAAAAAAAAAACCACTTATAATCATTAAATACCCCCTTAAATTATTTAAACGTCTCCTCATTTTAGGGATTTTCAATAATTATAGGAGGATTTAAAATAGTTTTCGAATATCTTAACTACGCTAAGATTAAACAATCGCACAAAAGAATGTATTAAATAAATTAACACTATTTCAACACACGGTTATTAAATTTAAAATCTAGTTAAGCGTTAAACTATTATTTGGAAAAATAATTGAAAGGAGACTATTTCATGAAATTATACTTGTGCCTACATAGATAAATTCGTGTATCGTAAGATTGGCGTTATTTTTTCCTATTGAGCAAAAGAAACCTTTCTTTTAGTATTCTTTTATTCCTGTAATTTGACCCTTAATTGAATTGAATTACCTAAACATCAAAAATGAATTAAGATTATTTACTAACCAAAGGGGAAGAGATATGGGAGCACTTCAATGAATATAAGAACTCTTCAAGGCTTACAGAAACAACTGCAGTAGTTCAAAGTATTTTAACCTCTCAAATCGTTTTCTTTCTCTATTTCTTATTACATACAATATAATTAAAGGAATAAATAAAAAATGTTTAATTGTCAAAATAATACAATTTTTAGCAACAAATACGCTCCATATATGTTTAATTTAAATTTCCACACCTATATATATGATATTATTTTTTATTAAACAATGTATCTTCAACGCTAAATAAATATATTGATCTAATATATATTAAGCTCTCACCTATAACTTTAAGCTTTTAGATGGGTTGACAACTTAGCATAATATTAAAGCTAAAGGTCTCAAACTCAATCCCCACATACAAATTTAATAAAGAAAAATGAAAAAAAATCTAAGTTAAGTTTGATGTGAAGGGGGCTTATTAGTTTAATATAGCGGAAATATAATATGTCATAAGACTTTACGTGACATTACAATAAATTTAAAAAAAAAAAAAAATTGTCATAAATTTATTGCCCCTCTAAATTTGAAGTATGCAATAGAGGTTTCTTATATTCTGATAAGTTTTTCTTCTTTTAGCTCTAGTTGAATAATATGTACCAAACAAATTCATAATATGTCATAACCACAAGAACAAAAACTTAAAAGAGAAAATTAACCATAATGAGCACCCCAAGAAAAATTAAATGGTACTTTTACAATATCGAATAATAAAAATTAAATGGTACTTCAAAAGTTCGACTGAGTTACAAATTTACACACTTCTAGAGTTTAGGGTTTCGAACCTTTCATTTTTGGTAACGCTTTCGGATGCAGAGACCGAGTTTAGTTTCTTCTGATCCTCCATCAACTCCAAGTGCCTCTTCATTGATTTTTTTTTATCTTTCTCTTCAGTGCCCAACACCAGGCTTGGAACATCACCTTGTCTTCTGCATGTAGTAATCATAATCATTCTGGTCTGGAGTTTCATCTCCTGAATTGTAATCACCTTCCCTGTCTAGAAGCTTTCGTGTTCGGCGGTTATGTACCTAATTTTATATCGATATCATAAATTTATGTCTCTAATTTATGAATGTATATGGAAATTAATGTATTAATTTTTTTCTACTTTTCAAATAATCTGGATTTCAAAATTAATCTCTAACGATTTAGTTTCATCAGCCAAATTAAATGCATTTTTCTTTCTTTCACAACTCTATTTACAACATTTTGAAAGAACCAAAGATAAATAATTACCAACAACTCAGAGAAAATACCCACCAGTCATGCAATTTAGCCGATATTCGATTCTTCGATTTTAGGTGGTACTTATAAAAT